GCAGGAATGATAATTGTTTCACCATAGCAGTGTGTGAATTATTAAAGCACAGAGGGCATAAAAGAGCTGAATAATGAATAGAACAGAAATGACAAAGAACAAGAACTTATTGTTTTGTGTATTTCATTGGTAGCTCTTTATCAGGCCTTTCCATGACCCTAAAGTGCCAGGACTGAGGAGACGAGACAGATGCTGCCACAATTTGTGGGTACAGTTCAGAAAATCCAGTCTGTCCTCAGAGCTTTTAAAGGAATATTCACACATGAATATACGTGAATAGTGCAAGAGACCAAACAAAGACAGCAGGAGAAAATGGGGGTTTTACCAACAAACCCTCTCCATTTCCTGATGCTATACAGAGCATAAATTTAACAAATTCTTTATATGAACTTGGAAGCATCTTTTTAAAAAGTGATGTTCATCCTCAGAAAATCAAATGAATCTGCTCATAAACAATTTAGGCATAAATGCTGCTAAAAAAAATTAAACTGACACAAGCCAGCTCTGCATTCAAAACAGAGTCTCAGTCCTGTTACATCACATAAAATAACGCCTTCCATGAAAGACCATATCTGGACATCCCCAAAGTATACTGGGCAGTAGGATTACAGGCACAAACACACATATTTACTGTTGACATGTACAGTCTGAAAATATATCAAATACTCTGTATATACAGAATTATTTATAAATAGTGTTAAGTTGTCACAACTAGTGTCCAAATCAAACTTATCTCTCCAAACATTAAGAACAGAAGAAGAACATTCCACTACAGCTCAGTACAGACACTGACAGATACAGCAGCTCTGGCACAGGCAATAAATTAGACAAAACATATCTATGTCCTTCACAATAAGAGTAAAACATACAAATCATTAAGATACAAAAATATACATCTGTGTGTTTGTATGGGTTAGTTGGGACCTGACAGAATGATACTGGCTGTTTTCCTGTACAGACAGAAAAAAAAAATTTAAATTCTCTCTTCAAGAGCACAAGCTCTGAAATTTGGGAATTAATATGTCCTTTTTTTCATAGCACAGTGGATTGATTCTGATTCTGATAAAAACTGTGAACTGGATTTTGAAAAGCCTTTGTAAATGTAGGCGCTTACAGGCAAAAGGTACATCAACATATTATGTATATTTATTAGAGTAAATATAATGCTTGGCATGCAAAATTAAGACTGTCTGAAGACAAAAATACAAGTTCTACTCCAAAGCGGTCACCACAAAATGTGAACTCCATCACCAAAGTGACTGGGTAAGTGGCCGACTGTGGCAAAAATAAAATAAAATAAAAAGACACAAGTCCAGTCTTATTTTCCATTCAGTACCTCCCACTATAAGGCATCGATAGGCCCAGAGGCTGCAGTTGCATCTCCCAACCACCAGGGTTCTCTAGCACTTAGACTCAGTAATACCTTCATCTATGGGAGACCTCCTTAGGTTGTAATATTCCCGTTCATCATCTGAGTCCTGAACAGACAGAAAACAAGACAGCCAGATGAAACTACATACTGATGAACAAACACAGATGCAGACACAAAACAGCTACAGTAAAAATAAAAATCAATACTTTTTAAACCCTTAAGTCCTGTTGTCGGTCACAGAGAGAGTGTAAAATTCAGCATGTAAAATGGATCTGGCAGACGTGTCACATCAAGTTATTCATAGTTGGAAGACAATGAAATGTCAGTACTGTACCATCAGAAATAGTTCAAAGCATGCGGTCTTTACTTTGGCCTTTGGTGGGCAAGTGCCGTGCTCCTCTCTGATGAATGCAGAACAGACAAGAATGAATGCCAGTAAAGACAATAATCACCCTCACAATTACCATGAAAAGTTAGCTTTCTACCTTTTGACCCAATATTTACATGCTCCTCACAGAGCTGAATGAGGAAAAGGTCATTTGAACAATAAATTACTTTTGAGCTACGCCTCTTTCATGTTGACTTTCACTAATTGACACCAAAAATACCTGAACCTGGCTTCTGATTTTCATAGCCCTATTTATTTCATATCTGTTGTATAAACATGAATGGTATTCATTTTCTCATCTAGCTACTGCCACAAAGTGAATGTGTGTATATCCCAAAATAATAATTCATAAAAATGTGGCATTTCCTTCTGTAAGATGGAACTTGAAGACACAGTGAGGATTACACGGTCATCTTATTGTGGGGTCGGCCACAAATAAAGAGAATAACGCAAACAAAACGAAGCGCTTACGGAGGTGCTGCAGTCTGGACAGTACTCCAAGTACTATAAAATAAGGAGGAAAAAAGAAAAATAGTAGCTACAGAGTGATCAAATAGTAGATTGACTTCTTCTGATTAATAAAAAACAGAAATAACAGGCCTAACTGTTGCTGGTCTTAGTTCAAACAAGCTGGTCCACGTTATTTAGGCAATTTTTTCAACACATATTCCAGAGTCGCCATGTTGCTTGACAGTCATTCAAGAACAAATACCGGCTCCTGTGTGAGGGAACAGCAGTGCTACGCTATAAACCTGCCTGAAGATCAGCTAATTACAGGCTCTAGTGTTAGACCCACTGATGCATGATTATGTTCTACAGCAAGTCAAATCCCTAACAACTTCAGTTCTTGTTTAACCTTCATCACATTAGCTATCCAGGCACATATCTCTAACCATCAAAGCCTGCAGTGACTATCATTACACCCCAGAGACCCACAGCAGTGACTGGTTGAATAAATCTACTCACCCCTCTGTGACCTCTATGGGTGATCTGTAAGCCTTTGATTGGTTGTGCCGTTTCTTGGGACAGAGCATTCGTCCAATCAGAATGAGGGTGATTATAAAGGAGGGGAGGAGGATGAAAGCCAGGAGGACCGCAACATCAGAGAAGCGCATGCTGGGCACTGGTGGGAGATGATGTGAGGTCATTAGACACACATTAACAAGCTGTTTATGACCAGACATAAGCAGAACAATATATTTCTGAAACCAGCAGCCAGTTACTGTAGCTTATCTTAACAGAAAGCATATCTTGTTTGTTGGTCTGTAAGGTCCTCTGCTTTGACTGAGGCACACTCCCAACCAGGGCATAAGTTATAAGCTTTAAAGTGTGGAGATTCAGTCACCTTTGGAGAGAACCATGCTAGCCGTTTCCCTGTTTCTAGTCTTTCTGCTAAACTAAGCTAACCAGCTGCTGACCCCAGTTACATACGTATATACTACAGTACGAGAGTTATAGCAATCGTCTCATCTAAAATCACTTTGTATTTTCCAAAATAGAAGAAGATTTAAAGAACCTCTGTGATCATTTACCCTATAGTAATATTTTAATTCTTACCATGACAACTATAAATTGGGGTCTAAAACATTTAGATCAGTTTATAAAGTTGGGTAACTTAAATTTGATAAGTTGTTCTCCACTATATCCCTGCCTTCAGCCATCTACAGTCTGCTGACGGCAGAGACGTGGGAATATGTGTGAGTCTGAATAACATCCTAACAGACTCACACAACATTAAATAAGTTTCTGGATTAGTCTGATATCTAAAAATGGCAGTTGAACCTTAAACTTTTTATTCTTAGACTGCATATACATTGTGAGCCAAATCCACAAAGGTGAAATCAGGACAAGATCAGAGGTATAAAACTTGTTTTAAAAGTTAAATATGAGTTTACAATGATGCATGTGGACTACATCATGAGTCCAGCTTTGACTACTGTTATGTTACATGCATGCACAGGTTGAAGAACAAAATGATTCTGTACTGTACACAGTTATTTTTCTCTTCATTTCACTACGTGTGGTCATGATTCTATGTATGCACAGTACGTGCAGCATCTTACCCTTTGGCGTGACGGTGAGTACAGTGTGTGAAAGTGGGAAACCATGGACATCAGGAGGGTTTCTAACAGAGCATGTAAATGTCCCATTGTCATTCAGTGTGGCATTGATGAGAGAAATGGAGGCATCCCCACGTGCCGGGCTTCCCTGCCACCAGATACGACCAAAGAATTGACCTTCAGGTGGTGGGAATGCCTGTGATGAGAAGTGGAAAAACTGGAGGGAGGAGAAAGAACATAAAGTAATAATAGGTATTTGTATAAACAAATGGGTGGGGTAAACAGAGTGCACCTTGAGAAAGGCTGTAAAAGTATTAAAAGATGCACCAATTGATCGGCAGAAATCAGAAATGGCCGGTTTTGATCAGTGACCGGCTGATCGCTCTCAGATATCTGATTCTGTGCCAAATCAGATTTAGAACCATGCTGTGCACAGTTTGGCACAGAGTCAGACCAAATGCGTGCAGCACATAACATCTCACATGCACCTCGAGTGAGACTCACGCTCGTGTCTATACCAGGTGCCTGTTCACTCGCACATTGGTAGTGCTTGGTGAACACAAAACGCACAGAGAAGCCTACAGAAACACCTTAGAGAAGGAGAAACTATGTTCAAATCTCTGACAAATAGCACACAATAAGGGAACTACTGGCTAAAGTGTATCCAACCCATGGTATAACACAGCAAATACAAACCACACGCACTTTAAAAAGAACTGTGTGCTCAGTACCAATAGTCTGTTGCACCCGTTTATATTTGGAGTACAAATATTGCACTTTTTTTACAATCCTCCAACTAAAAAAAGTGAGAAAGATGGAAAATGTAAAACTTTGATACAATGCTTTATATTACAATTAAATTTTTCATTAAAGAAAAGTGATAAAAATGTCTGTGCATGCTGTCAGCTAATGCTCTTAGAAAGAAAGAAAATCAGAATTGGCCAAGAAAATTTTAAAATTATATTAGTTTATTAGACTTGGTGTTTGGAACAAAGAGAGAACCACAAAATACAGGACCTCAATAACGGACATAATCAGTGATGTAATGAGCATTTCTTACCCTCTGTCTCGTCTCAGACATGTACAGTTATCTCAGCAGGAGGGCAAAACCTATAAATAATGTTTAACTAATGATCAGTTCTCTTATTCAGAAAGCATATAATAAGCATAATCAGTCTTAAGTTATTTTACTGCCTAAAGGAAACTGTGTAGAGCAACAAGCAGTGGGGCAGATGGTGGGACATTTTCTTCTGGCAATGCTGTCACTAGAGTGAAGCAGGATCTATGTTCAGTATAAGGAATATGAATATAAATGTGACAAGCAAAGAAAATCCATGCTTTATTTTGCAGAGGCAAAAACTGAAAATGCACATCTCAAAAACTGAATTTTAGTTTACTACCTCAGTCTGTTTTCAACAACAAACTCCATCCCTTCATTACTCCCACATCAAGCTGACCTTGACCCCTTCAAAGCACAACAAATAGAGTATGAGTCTGTTGCTTGTGTGGGTGTAGAATGGCAAATGAAAATGTGGAAACACCACAGTAAATGGTTTTCACAGAGGAAATCATGAGTGGGGAGTTTGTGTTTTAATAAGTTGTATGAGGCCTTGATTAATCACCAGTAACAAGGGACTTGGATGGAAAACATCTGAAATGAAAAGATTTCAATTTTTTCCCAGTGTAACTTATAGAATCAAGTGTTTCAAACTTCAACAACTTGAAATGGTTAACAATGATATTACAACTAGACAAGAAAAGGAACTCTTTCATTAGGATAAAGAAAAAGAATAAGCGGTCATGTATTAGGAGTGGCTGGAGGTTCCTCCTGTCTACGGTGCCTTGTACTGAGCTGTTGAGTCGTGTGAGGGACATGAAGACAACAAGAGGCTTTTAGATTATTAGCAGGATATGATCAGAGCTGCATGGCTTTCATCTCTAAAAGCAGAGCAGAAGGGAGTTATTGATTTCTTCTAAAATCACCAAAGATGTGTTTTCCTGCCAATTCACAGAGATGCTTCCATTAGACTGAACACACTCTTAAAATAAGGCTCATTCTAGTGAAAGGAAATCATCATCTTATAACATAAACATATTCCATATCACTCCACCTGCTTTAGCCTAACAAGTGGATGGGTCTGGATGTTTATCCAAATTCACAACAATGGGCAGAACCACAGGGAGCCAATGACATGCATGGTGTCTTCCCTCAGTAACAGAATCAGACCACGTGCTCCTGAAGTGTTGTTCCCACTATGACCTTGATCTGTACATTTTATCATTCCACAGATAAGTGCCATGATTCAGAAAAACTATTTGAACCAATACAGATTTAAAAAAAAAACAGAATGAATGGGTTCAAGAGGATGAAGATGAAAACTAAGCTTAGTAACAAACGTATGCGAGCCTTAGATCTAAGCCTCTTATACTGTATATGAAAAAAAAAAGTACAAAAATCCTTTACAAATATGCTTTATTTGTACACTATTTAATTATATGATCTAAATCAAGAATCATGCACACGAGGGTGTGAGTAGAGCATATTTACTGCTCTAGTTTTTACACACTAAAGACAGTATCACAGGGCCTTGCAATAAAAACAAACCTAGAATTACCACTTTGCGGTTGTATGCCTCCTCCACCCAGTCAAATTCACAAGCATGGCACAGAAGTGAGGTCACTGACCTTGGTCTGTGGCCACCAAAATCTAATCTATTCATCTTTGAGTCCAGGTGGACGCTTGTGCCAAATCTGAAGAAATTCCCTCAGGGTGTGGTGTCCCTGAAATATTGCATTCACAAGAATGGGCCATAGGAACGGACGGACAACCCGGGAACATGGCTATCTCCGACATGAGGGATTAACAAAAGCAAATGCAATCAACTGAACAATCGCTGACAATGATCCAGCTTTATGGCTTTACAACTGTGTGTGTATCAGCTGCAGTCTGAGAGTGATTGTAGGCCTGGCTGAGATAAACCTGGTCATCTCCCTGCACTGTTATTCAGCCACAGCTGACTGTTTGAGGACCTGGTAGAGAGTGCTCAGTCTGGAGACAAATGTAGGAACCAACAGTCCTTTTAAACTCGTGAGAAATGATACAACACAGAATGTCTCCACCTATACTACAAATCTGAGACATTTCAGACAAAAGATTCCATTGACATGGAAAAACCTCACAACAATGTCATTATTAACAATTATTTTTCATATTGCATCATTCAGCAGAAGTCAACTGCTAAATCCTCCAATTACCATCAGCTTCCACTGTTATTCTATTAAACATCCAGCCTCTCTTCTCTAATCTACAATATTAATTCTCATCAGGGCAGAGGTAATTGTGCACGCTACTGTAGCACTGCAGCAATTCAGACTGACGCCAAAGCTTTGGCAGCAAAATTATATTCTCTGATGGAGCTTTTCACATGCTTATTCATTGTCTCTCCCAGTGAGATATACTGCTGTGGACAAACAAACCAATAAATGAGCCAAAACCACTAATGAAATTGGATAGAAAGTAAATTAAGTCTTAGAAACAGAAATCAGAAACTTCCAGACTTGGGTTTGTCTACGTGCCATACCAAGAAACAGATGCATTTTATTTATGAGTGAAAAAGAGCAAACTAACTGGGCTGGGCTGAAGGAAATACAAGCACTGGTGTAGTTTTTCCTGGGATAGGAGCAGGCACACCTTTTTACAAAACTGTTCAACTTTGTGAGGTACTTTCTGCTGACTGACACACACATGCATACACACCTCAGCACCCAGTCCTTTTTCTCCTGCTCCCCCTACACACTTTGAGACCAGAAAACTACAACTTAAAGACTAGACCAACAGCACTCCTTATCAGAAGAGCAAAAAAAAAAACATTAGCCTCTACTTTACTCTGAGTGCTCCTATAAGGGAATGATGGGATATAGGGTTGCAGCTACCACAATATGGATTCCCGTGCTTCAGATGCAATTATATGGAACCACATGTGATGGTTATCTTCAAGCTCAAATGGAACTGCTTAAATTATGTGGTGGATTTTTAGTCGATTGGTCACTGAAACTGACCCCAGAGTATGTGGGGTTAGATGACTTAGTGCAGTTATGGGCTGGGATGGATACATCCAAACACTTTTCAAACAAAACCACAATGCCACCACAGAGGAAAGGGTATTAAGGCAGCTGAACAAAAAAAAAACAAACTGAAAAACTGGAGAGGCCTACTGATAAACCCAACATACTGGGACATACAGTACCTACATTAAAAATATCCCTGACCTGAGTTTGGTTCTGGGTATGTATTACTATCACAGTGGAAACGAAATATTCAAACAGGTTTATACAGAGTGAGCAATAAAAGTCCATCAGAGGTCAAAAATTATGAGGAAATAAGTTAGTGGCACCTGAAGTTCCATTCACATTAAATAATAGCATTTAAAACTGCAACTAATGATCGTTGTCTCTGCTGAACAAGTCTTTTGTTGACTGTCTAATTATTTAGCCTGTAAAATGTCAAATATTTGTACACAGTCACAGGTTTTAACTATTAACATCAGGTCCAAATATTCACAAAATAAGTGGTTAATGAGAACCTGTATTAGTCGACATAAATGACAAATTCAATACAAACATCCATGACCACCGCATTAAAAGTAAATTGGTAAAGAGCCACGGTGTCACTGTTGTTTATTTGGACAAAAGCAGAATATTGTCTTTTGTCATAATGTTAATTATGATCAGGGCATAACTAATAAACATCCAATTAGCAACCAGATGAGCATCAACATTCAGCTGCTGCACTGCAGAGCATCTGTTTTTGTTTTATTCTCTTGTACAGTTACCTTTTAAAATGTAGATGAATACATGAAATCCCAGAACAAGTCAATAGCATGTATTCTATGGAGAATATTCTGACCAAATTGTTTTGGAAAAAGTACATTTCTCTCCAATGCAAGGAAATACATACAAAAGCTCACTTCAACCATTGTATATATATTACAAAAAAGAGCGATAAGAATTGTGCATAAGATGGGGTATAGGGATCACACCAATGTAGCTTTCATACAGTCTAAATTGTTAAAATGTTTTGATTTAGTGGGATATAAGACTGCTGTGTTTATGTATAAAGCCAGGCACAATTTATTACCTGATGGAATTCAAAAACTATTTAATGAAAGGGAAGGGGGATACAATTTAAGGGGTCAGTTAAATTTAAAAATTCATGCTATATGTACAACCAAAAAAAGATTTTGTATTTCCATAAGTGGGGTAAAACTATGGAATAATTTAAGTGTGGACATAAAAAATAGTAATAGAATTGACGAGTTTAAACATAAATATAAAGGTATGTGTCAATCAAGATATATGCAAGAACAGGTTTAATGATTAATTAGATGGAACATTGTGGGTGTGGTGTATGAATGTTAACACTTCCATTCAAGCATGTACTAGGTATAAGCAAATTGATATTGGATTATGTGTAAAATTATGTGTGTTGTCATATCAACTGTTTTACATGCTTGAAAGAATAAATCAAATCAAATCAAATCAAGGACAGAGCAAGCATCTTTACATTTGTACTACAACTGCAGCTTGAATTAAAACAACATTCTGACATTTAAACAGGGAAACTGTCTGTAATAGGCTCCATCCTTTCGTCTCACAAGATTGTGATAAATGTATACTCACTGTCTGTGGTGGCCCTCCAGTCTGGGGCCTGTAAGACCAGTCAACTGTCATCTTACTGGTTGGCCTACTTGTGGAAGTGAAAGAGCAGGACAATGTGACTCTATCCCCTTTAGATGCATGGAGCTCTGCTGGAGTACTCACTGTGATGGAGGAAACTAAGGAAGGGGCTGCACATCAAAAGGTAGAAAAGGAAAAGCAGAAAAAGATGGCAGCATGACAAACATGGCAGCAGAAAAGGTCAAGGTGTTCAAGAAGAATAAGAAAAGGGAGTGGAAATAGACAAGAGAAGGAGGGTATATTGTGAGTGACATTAATAACTTACTATAAGCAAAACAGTAAGTAAAAGAAAAAGTGACAATATGTAAAAATGTGCCCACACTGTGGCAGCATAACAGCACAGCAAATTCCTGCACTGAGCGAGATGCTGATACAAGTCTCTCTCCCGCCTCTCTTGCTGTGCTTGACAGACTTGCAACACATCTGTCTGTCTGGGGCCTGACAACTGCAGATAAAGCTACATCCATGTCTCTCTCTAGATGATTTGATATTGTTATCACTTCATTCAGAAAACCAAAGGAGTCCTGCCACAGCAGCGTCCACAACAACACTCAATAACTAAGGGACTGTCTTTTATGGACCGACACACTGCTTGGTGGTGACTGGACGCTTCAGATGAAGGATGGGAGGAAACGACGTATCATGTCTCTCAAAACATGTTTCCTTGATTCCTCTGTGCTCACATTAGGCCCTTGTATCTTATGTGGGCAGACATAAGGAAATGATGCAAGTGAGAGAAACATAGATACAATTAAGGAAACTGGGATTTACCCATGGAAATTAGACTGAGAGACTACAACCACACAAGCAGCTCACTGAAGTTGTGCTTGGGCACAGCAGAGCTTTGAACCGAGCTAACAAGCTCACAGTGACAGTATCATTCATGCTAACCAGGTTAACCATCTTTGTTTGGTAATTTATCATTCAAGTACAACAGGCCTTTTAATATCCGTAGCAAATTTCACAGCAAGCCATCAAACTGATTTTTTTTTTTTTACTCAGAATGAAAGATGACGTGGGATTACCTTGATCCCACTGGAGGGGTGGCTTTCTAGTGGATTACCAGAGCAAAATGTGCTACACAAATCATTTAAACGTTGTTCAATGTAAATAAGACTTTAAAGTTTGTAAGTGGAAATAATATATTATTTGTAGCCTTTTCACACTTGATAAGTTTTCATTTATTTTTCTGACATTTGCAGTGGCCTCTTGCAGACCGCTCAGAACAGTGTATTCACCCAAATAATGAGTTTGTGATTCTAAAATTATCTCAAAGGGTAATGTAACTTTGATTAAACAAAAATATCTTCAATAAAAAAAAGGCACAAGTCCATCATCTGTCATCAACCTTCAGAAGTAAATGGTGGATGACAGCATCTCACACTGCACAACCACTCTGTCTCCCATTTAGGGGAAAATGTCCATCTTCCTTATGCTGTTCTTCATATCCACTATTGGCAGGTAAGATTAGAACACTGATATTCAGGATCTGGTCATCCTGAAAAGTCTGAATCTGGATCAGGGTGATCTTATCCTGAATTGCTTTGGAATACCGGGACAAAATCTGTCTGTGAGTTGTCTGATCTTGGATCACAAAAGTTCTTATTGGATCTGATTGAAATGAAAACTTTTTAACTCCCAGGCCCCAGGGGACCATTAAAATCTGTTTAATGGCAATCCACCCAACAGCTGTTGAGATATTTCAGTCTAGGTTTTGAACCAACCAACAGACACTGCCATCCCCAGAGCCACGCTGCTACGTGTAACATGGCTAAACCTGGCTTCATTTGCAATCAGTGATATTCATAGACTATTGTTTTTAGAAATAAATGAATCCTTCTCCATTTCAAAGTAAAGCCCCCAGATCATCCCAACCCCCTACCACCACCACCAGGACTTTGTGAGAGCAAAATAATCCTGGCAATCAGCAGCCACATCTGATCGCATACACACCACTGACTCCATCAGATGTAGCCTGAGAGATATCAAACCAATTCCTCTACAAAGACTCGAAGGTAAGCGATACTACAAAACAAACAAAAGCCATTGCTTCATAAAAGTGGAAATCAAGGAGAACAGCCTTGAAAGCTGAACTGCTCTTGAGCTTGAAGACATTACAATCAAGCAATAAATGGCAGTAGCAGCTCATAAGTGGCCATGTTGACACCTGGGTTCTTCAACAGCAAGTTATGGGAATTTCATCAAGGGAGACACAAACAAAATCTCAGGAGAAAGACAGCATCATATTGTGATGGCATCTGCCCTGTTGTGACCCTGGCACAATAAATAAATAAACTTATAATACATCCTGGCAGAACAAAATACGTGTGTACCACATAAAGACAAAGCATAATGATACTAGCCTGCTCCTACAGTTTCATGTTGCCTATGTTCTAAGCATTAATGTATGCATCTCTCATTTTTTACTCCTTCAATTAAAAAAAAGGCAGATGTTTCCAGAGACAGGCAAACATCTGCCCACAGTTCAGAGCCATGTTGTAATGTACTTGGCAAAAAGGCAACACTATTATCTTACTGCATAGCAGTTGTCAGAACCCTCCAAGCCTGGTTACTTACACTGGCTGGTCATTATTATGGGCTGTTCCTACTGTAGCTGACTATTATAACCTAAGGGGTAGTTTCACTTCTTTTCACAAGTTAAGTCCTTAACTCACAGACATTAAAATGTGTCAGAAGTACCTTTATGATAACAGGCTACATACTAAACAGAATCCCAAACAACTCTAACATCAGTTTGTAAATATATAGTTCATTTTATAGACGTTTCCGACCATTTCAAAAAGTGAATCTTGCGCTTCTTAAACAGATGTGGCAGGGCTGTAGAATTAGTTTTCATTACAGCTGTACCAAACAGAATTCATCATGGCGTTGGTGTTTACAGGGCTGTGCACTGTATTTCCGTGAACTTTACAGTGGAGTAACATTACAGAAACTTCAAACCAAGGGTAATAAGTGCTGCTACTGGCGGTACCACCCTAATGGCACAGACATTCAGCTAAACGGCTCTGTTGAAACCTGTTGTGAAACTGAAATATGAAAGCCTGCTCCGGCCTGTTTACTCACCGAAACAACCGAGGAAATACAGCAGTAAAACGACATTAAGAGTCGTGTTCCCCCGGGGTAGTCCACGCATTTTAAGATATGAAAACGGATTAACTCCTGTGACGAAAAGAAATGTCAAAGGTGCGTCAAGGCGTCGGTCAAATTCCACCCATAGTCTTTTTTTTTTTTTTTTTTTTTTAATATGAGTCGGCGTCCCAGTCTCGGTTGGCAAACAGGTGCACCAGGAAGTGGATCTGCTGAGACTGCACTCCCTTTCCAGGTTAAATGGAGTAGGGGAAAGAAACACACCTACGAAAAAAGTTCTATTAAATATTGATGCTCACAGTGACTCAACAGTGTAGATGTCTCAAGCCAAAATTTGTGAGGTTATATGTGTAATATTGTAGGCGCTGCTACTTTAATATCCCACTATAAAAATAGACCTTTGTAGCTAGGATACGGCTATAAGCCATCATCAAAATAAAATGATATATATAGTACATAAACATGCCACTGGAGGAATAATAAATGAGTCCAGTAAAACTTAAAAGGGGCAGAAAAATGAAAGATGATATTAAAATACTTTCTAGCTTTTTCATATGGATGGATTAAATTATTGCTGAAGATAATGTTAGATAAGTGTTTAATCATTGCAGCATGTTTTAGATGAAACTGTTAAGTAGGTTGCAATTTGGTTCTTTATTAGACACACTCAACTTCTTACGTGAAATTATTTAATTTATAGATAATGATGTTGATGATCATGACCATAAGTCTCTTATTAACACTCATTAACACTCTTATTAACATGGACTGTGGAGCCAAAATAAAACCATATGAAAGTATAATATATTTTCTTCTGTTTCCAGCCCCTCGCTGTGTGGAGGCCTGAGGACCTCCGTCTCCCCAGCCTGCTTTTCTGTTTGTTTTTTTAAAACAGTGGAAGCTCTACTCCCTAGTTTGACAGAGTTACTGTATATAGACTGATATTTTATGAAGCATTAAATACATAACAACAGGGTGCCACTAGAAAACAAACATCTCCTATGCAAATAATCTCCTGTGTAAAAAAAAAAAGTACATTTTATTGTATAAACTAATTTGGAGTACTGTAAAAGCTGAGTTTGAGGGAAATGTTTATTCCTCATGTTAAACACAGGCTCCCTAACTTGATTAAAATGGAAAAGCAGCCAGGCCTATAGGCTCATTTGATTAGATTTTTTGATTTGATTTATTCATTCAAGCATGTAAAACAGTTGATATGTCAACACATGTAATTTCACACATATCCAACAATAATAATCCAGTATCAATTTACTTATACCTAGTACATGCTTGAACAGAGTAGGAAGAAGTTAGACTTATCTAGTCCTACCCCATGACATCAT